CGGTGAGGAAGGATGTCCTACCAACCCAACTTGCATCTAAATTGGTATACCAATTTGAGTGCCGACAATGCGGTAGTCGGTACGTTGGTAGGACTCTTCAACATCTGAACGCACGTATCAAGCAGCACGTCCCACTGCATATGCTGACTGGCTCGGCACGGGCACTGCGACCAAAACGCGGCAGGCCACTGAAGAACCCTCGGCCACAGCCATCGTTAGCACAATTTCCGTCATCGGCAATAGTGCCTCCATTACCCGTATCGAGAGCCTTGGAGTCGGGTAATGGGCATATTGTCACCACAACACAATGCACCATAACAACACAAGATAACACACCACAACAACATTCAGCTCAAGACCAAAGTGGACGCTGTGATGAGGTAATGCCCTCATCGCCGTCTTTGCCGTTGCCTCCCCCAGAACCGCCACCTACATCTATCATCGGCGGTGCTGGGGCTGAGTCTGTGGTGTCGGTGGCACGTGCATATATGGATGAGGCAAGCACTGATTGTGAACAACGAGAAAGAAGGCTGAAGGGAACGGAATTCAACAAAGAAAGTAACACAATCAACATTCAAAGACCTAGACGATCAACGGCTAATTATTCAATGAATTATTACAGTACTGGAGATCAAGCACCGGCGAGGACACTGGGAACACAAGATTTAACAACAGCAGCAGCAACAACAACAACAACAACAATGGTAACAAGTTGCCATCAAGATCAAAGGAGGAGTCAACGAACAGAGGTTAAACAACGTCAAACGAGCCTGGGACCGATCAGTGTTGATGAGGAGAATGACACGGAGGACGACACTGAGGACGAGTTGGGAGATGAAACGGAGGACGAGATTGCGGTTGTTGGAGACGAGGAATCAGATGGTGATTGTGATCGTAAGAAGTCTGCCGTTTTTCTTCACTTGTTGTCTCACCCTAAGTGTCTGCAGGTGTATGATGATTTTAGTTTTTCTGTTCTTTGTCGTGCACGGTATGCTAGTCAGTTGAAAGTACTTGAGGCTGTTTGTATTCGTTTGCATAAGCCTGATCTTTGTAAGCAGAAGAAACATGTAGTTGCGTTAAAATTGTTTTCGTAGGTGCACAGCATGATTGTTTGTCTCACTACACAGTTTTAGCGTTATAATTATTAGTTTTTCACCCACCGTTGCACTTAGCTCTCACTTCACTGCTATTGTCTCACCTTCCCTCTTTCTATTTTGGCACTGTATTTTGTTCTCGTAACACATCATTGAATGTATATTTAATCATTGTTCAGCATGGTTACTCTTCAGTCACGACTTTCCACTGATGAATGTGACAAGAAAATTAATTCTGGTAAACTTACATGACTTCGTTGTAGTGTGGCGATGACTGCAGAATTTGTTCTTTCTAACGCTTTAACCACTTTTTGATGAACTCTTTACCAATGCTGTAAAGAAGGTCTCGCAGAAGGTGGGCGCTCTCTAGAGAGCCCGCCGTTGCCTTCCAAGAAAGTCCAGAGAACAGTATGTGAAATCCGTTGTGATGCCAGACTTGCTCTAAGGGTCCGTGGCGTTCTCAGGTTGCCTCCGACAAGACCAGCGCTTCACCGCCCAAAAATAGCGGCAACCGCTTCATCTGTTGCTCTGCATTCGTCCAACCCGATATATCAACCAGTACCTCAGACTTCGACCAGAACATGTCGAAGTCGTCCACTCGACGACGATACGGCTTCACGACGCCATCCAACTTCAGTGACAACATATCACTGATGACAGAAGACACACTGTCACCACTAGCACTACTAACGCTGGTATGATCAGAACCACCACTGACTTCACTGTGCCTGGATACGATGTATGTATCCTCAGGACTCACAGGAGTCAACAAATATTCACTGTCACGATCACGATGTCCAGCCGCCTGCGGAGTTGTCCGTGTGCTACCCCTTCCTCGAGCGTTCCTAAGTCTAGGAGGCATCCACTACCAGGTTACAACAGCAAGCTTCGTCAGCACTCTACCAGTACTCAGCGAACAACACACTACATGTGAACGATTGTTCCTGACACAATTAACCACGCTCGTATTCTCCGGTCCAAACCAGCGGGTTTCGCCAGCACCTTGTTACGGAATCACAGCCATTCCTATCCCCGGGACGCAGGACACAAAGGACAAGCCTAGTTTGTGTTACATTATATACTTTGACGTTGCGGAAATGAAGACTACACTGAAAGGAACGAAGAAGAAGACTGACAAAAGGACTCCCGACTACAAAATCGCGCATGCTCATATCACACCTGCACGCGACTAGACGAGACAGTTTGGGGAATACCATCACACAGGAAAACAACACATCATTTCACAACACGCCTCCAGCACAACCGTGCGGCACGCGCTGTAATCAATATGCCCCCTCGCACAACTGAGCGCCCAACCTCTACTTGCTCGTCTGCAGCTGTATGGCATCGAAGAGCTCCACAAGGAAAAGGCCCTTGTTATGATCTGGCGTGGCTCGGATGGTCGGGCAAGCAATTCACTGGAAAGTCCTTCTGGAGCGTTCCAGCACTCTGCGCAATGTGCGCGCAACGCAGCTTGGGCCTTCAGGGGCCCAGATCTTCCTCCAAAGCCGGCCATAACCGTCCACCCGCGAGCGGGTCCATTTTATGTAACACCCTGCCATCCGACGTGCGTGGCACTACCCAGTACCACCAGTTCAAACAGGCTTGCCTCCCGTTCTGTCTTGCTAGCAGTAGCACCCAGTACTGAGCACAACGTGCACCCTTGAACGTTGGCGGTACTCCACACTACCAGCTGTTGCCGAGCGTTCTTTAACTCGGATGGTGGACGTTGTTGGACAGTTAGTCATAACTCGTAACATTTTGTCCTTCTTTTCACGAGCGTTCTTTGCTTTGTATTACACCCTGGTATCATGTTAGGCTATTGTCTACAATAATTTATTGTTTCCATTCGCCTCCAACGGAGTGCTACACTGCGGCTAGGTCAGGAAATAATAACAACAAGTAATAAGTAATAATAACACAGATACGCGTACAATATGCACAGCCGTGCTATACATGCTCCCTCTGCTGTTCTCTAGCTCTGTCCATTATGTATGTCAATATCCGGCAGTTGTGGCGACTCCTTCAGATTATCTGCCGCCATTCATCGCGATCCGCAGCAAACTGTCTTAGGTCGTCCAGATGGCTTCGGCTCGAAAGGCAGGTAAGACACTAGAAACCAGGGTAGTGTGGACCGAATGAGAAACTACAGGACAAGATTGTCACTGCGCCATGTCGTGTCAGACAGAGTTCAGTTATACGTGGCCAGGAGAACAACAGACGAAGAACTACATTCCAATGAAGTGTGCGAAAACCAAAGGAAAGTGTGTACGAGCGCATCAGGAAGCAGGAGCTCTAGGCGCATGAATCTCAGGTGCACGAGTTGCACCATAATTATACGGAAGTATGCCAAACACATCAGCATCTGCTGGCATGTTACCGTTCATCCTTTTAGTCTGCAACTCCACTGCATCATTTCCCTTCCAATTGTGAACACAAGAGAGATTGGAAGCTGTGTCGCAAGTCTGTCAACAGCTCTATCCAAAAACATTCATTCATCTGTGGTAGACTTTATTTGAGGGGTTCTCCAAAAGTAATTGGATACTTATCAAGGTAACAGGAGGAGAGCCTTATAGGTGGTGGGATGGAGGTGTTCACACTGGACCGGCGGAAGGCGCTTTTGATTGATCCGGTCACACCCAAAACCTGTCTTTCTCGGAGTGTGAAAATTATGGTGGCTATACCTGACCTGGGTTTTTCGGGTTTTAGCGGCCGTCGTGAGTTCCCTTCGGGAACGGACACGATAATTTACTTTTTTTATATTTTATACCTGACCTAACCAGCAGTATTAAAACATGAGTTGATGGTCAAAACGTTAGTCCGGCCATGGCCTGACCACCCGGACCGGTTCCACCGGGCATGTCACAGGAAGGCCGCTGATGGCAAGGGAAAGTCCCGACTTCTCCGGTCTAAGTAAACAGTCCGGAAATGGTGATGTCATAATCATAGTCTGGACGCCACTTGCGCATTCCAGTCGTGATTCAGCTAAGCGTCAGGTCGTTGAATGTCAGTATCACCTTGCTCAATGATGTGCTAACTGTTTTAGGTTCTTTTCATTAGGCCTAATTGTCGCGCCTCAGACCCGTGCATCATGCTTCCTCCCTTCGGTAACAAGGGCGATATTCATCATGCCTCGGATGGAGAGCCGAGGAAGAATGTAAGGGAAGAAAAAGGACCAAGGAACTAAATTCTACGCTATACTGTTCACAGGGCGCCATCGCCTGTGTGCTGCGACTTTAAATTTAATTCAACAACGACACCACCAACACCAGTTACTCGACAATCAGCTAACAATATAACTATTATCGCAAGAGCTGATTGTACAATAACTGGTGGTGTTATTGGACAGTATAGCGTAACTTGTACTTTTAGTTGTAGTTCCTTGGTCCCTTTTTATTTTCCTTTAGATTTTGACCATCTTCATTCAGCAATAAGTATTTACTGTCACTTACGAGAGTTTTTTAAATACTCGAAACCACTTTTCGAAGAAACTGAGCACTGGTGTGTCGCTTTACTGATGGTGTTCTGAGGCAACGTATTGAGATCGGCTGGAGGGTGAAGTTGTGGGGAACTGCATGAAAGCCAAAGCACTACAGGTTTGTACTGCGAAATTACTGGAATTAGTGCCACAGAAAACCTAAAACGATTTGAAGTTTACAGATGCTCCCTAGCTGGGTGAAACATATACTAAAAAAAAGAAAGTAAATTATCGTATCCGTTCCCGAAGGGAACTCACGACGGCCGCTAACACCCGATAAACACACCTGAAAAATATACTAGACTTGGAGTCGAGTTGCTGGTGTGATGAGGTCGGCCACAGAGCACATGTGGTGTAGGTGGAATTGCTTCATTGATAAACAGACTGATATCTGCTGCTTACCCTCTGAGAACAAAGAACAAACTAACCTGCTCAAAACCATCGACCGTTGACGCATACTTGTCATCATCAACACCTACGTACAAAGGTGTCTCATTCAGAGAGATCCTTGGGGAGTCCTCGCCATTTCGAGTTTGAGTGGCTGAACACTGCATAGTTTGCTGTCGCTCTATCGTAAAGGCATCATACATGGACAAGCATGAAAGCACAATTCCGAAATATGACATGCGCACCAGTTCAGAGTGAGACATTGAGCAAATCAAGGCAGGTATGTATTAGAACACTCTTGCACATGTGCACACACTGGCACACACATGCACGCGTTCACGCACGGTAAAGTTTCATTTTTCTTTTCGTTACAAAAATAAATTCATATTGCATTTTAGGGAAAGAACTACAAATCTCAAGCTATTCTTCACCATCATCAGCAATATGGACTGCAAAATTCATGAACCAGTTTTGTGTGTGTGTTTTAGTTCCTCTTGCCTCACTTCTCACCTTCTCTTTCTCTCTTTCCCTTTTTCTTATCACCCCTTGTGCATAAATTCTTCGCTAAATTTATCACCTAGTTGTCATGGTTACCAATCTTGTGATGCTACTAATCCCTATGTTTCATTGGTTCTGGTTGCTTGTATTTCATATGAAGAGAATGTCCGAAAACTGATGTCAACTAACACCACCAGTTACTGAACAATCGGCTCATGCGATAACATTGCACGACAAGGTTTTGTTTTTTGTTTTCCGTTGCCTACATGATCTTGCAAGTCCTCTTTTCTGCACCTACTTTCAGTTGATGGCTAACACAGGCCAAGCATCCCGGGATGATCGCCGAATTACTCCAGGACAGGAGCAGCGGCTACTGCAAGTGCCTTTCCTTCCTGGACCTTCCGGTCGTCAGTCATTGACATTTGTGGGAAGCACTCTTTGGAATGCCCTTCCCAGCGATATTCGCCTCCACAGTGCGGCGGTTGCCTTTAAACTGGCTCTGAACAGAATTAATTGTAATTTGTAACCACCTTGCTCGGCATCCCTACACATTACTGCATGTTTTCTCGGTGTTTTCTTCACTGCATGCTTACACATACACACACCCATTTGAATTATATACAAACTTTGTGCTTTGGAATTATCATGTTATGATTCTTTTTAATATTTCCTTCTCTCATAATATTATATTCGTTCTTAGCAGAAACCGGAGGTTTTTTTCTCTGGTGAGAAGGCAGAATCGCCTGTGCTCTAAACGAATTCAAATAAAAGAAACAAACAAAAACACTGACCGACGGTACTGACGTTCTACAACTAACTGGCTAACAGCTCTAGCACATCTTGGATGCGCACTCCAGCAGGACGTTAGTACCGTTGGTCAATGTCATGCTATCGCACGAGTTGATTGTTTAGTAACTGGTGGTGTTAGTGGACATTATAACGTAACTTGTCTCCAAGAAAGTTATTTTGCTTTTTCGTTAGTTTTTGTTCCAGGCCAGTGATAATATAATTATTATGATGTTCTGTAATTGCCCGTATAAGATGCTTTTTCACAGATGTACATGATTGTTGATGATATAAGTAAGGTCACTGTTTCCGAACACAGTGTCCTCCACCTTGTTTCATTCTGTCAATCTAACAATGATTGTACATGTAAGTGATGTAACACACCCACACACCCACCCACCTCCACATGCCCATTCAAGCGCACACACGCAGAGCACACTGCCTAGTATGCACTGTAACGGATCACCTAGTCCCCGTGAGGCTACAAACGGGGGGGGGGGGGCAAAACCTAGTAAGCGAACCAACCTGACTTGAGAATCTTGCCTTTATCATTGTAATTGTATTTTGTTAAGGAATGGGTTTGCTCCCACACTGAAATCATCGCCGAAGTCGCAACCTCTATTTCGTACTACTTGTATTAATTTTTATTACAAGAATATTTTTAAAAGGATTTCCCTAAGGCATTGTTGCACGACAGGGAATAAGGGGATGCAGGTGTCACTGAATTCAGTGAAGCCAGCTGGTGTCTTCTTGTGTCCTGCGCCAGACTATAACAGGATGAAACTGGGAAGTTTCTTTGCGCAAAGGGCCACGCAGACTAGAATGGTCCTTGGAAGGGTTGGTACCATAGAGCAGAATTCACAGTTCGCGTGAGACTCGGGTCGAGAGCGAGTTTTCCGCACCCGCAGGACAGCCACCACCCTCTTCTCGTGAAGCCCGCATTGGAGGAGGAGGCTTCACATCTGTTTGAAGGCACCGGTGTCCGCATTGTCACCGGCAGCACTAAATATCTGGGCTCATACATCGGAGAGCCTGATGATGTTGCCAGCCACGTGAGGGAGAGGGTTGATGATTGGTGCAAGGAGCTACGCACATTAGCAAAGTTTGCCAGCACAGAGCCTCACGCGGCTTATGCAGCTTTGACTCATGGCCTGCGGGGTTGTTGGGTCTACCTCTTTCGTACGGTTCCCATTCCGGAGGACGCAGTATCAGCGTTGGACAAGGTAATCGAAACTGAGTTCTTGCCGGCTGCAACTGGTCGAGATGCATTCACCACGGAGGATTTGGTGATGCTCAGGCTGCCGACTCGTTTCGGGGGAATGGCCATTCCACACTTTCACAGCATGAGCGGGACAGAGCGCGACGCTTCCAGAGCAATGACAGCAGCCCAGGTTAGTGAGATTCTGCAACAGAACAACACATCATGGACCAAGCAAGCACCGGAACGTGTTCGGCAAGATGCTATGACAGCCAAGAGGGATTTTGCCAGACAACGCGGCACAGCAAGTGAGGCTGAGTTCCGCCAGCTGCGGCAGTCGGCGTCGGCGGATATGTCGCGTCGTTTGGAGCATTTGTCCTCCCGAGGTGTCTCTAGCTGGCTCAACACACTGCCTATCAGAGAACACGGATATCATCTGTCGAAGGGAGATTTCAGGGATGCGGTGGCGTTGCGGTATGACTGGGCATTGGTTGATGTGCCTACTACCTGCTCTTGTGGCCAACCGTTTAGTCCGGCCCATGCCATGTGTTGCCCTACTGGCGGTTTCTCCACCATTCGGCACAATGAAGTTCGCGATATTCTTGCCGACTTACTTACTGAAGTTAGCTCGGATGTCGCTGTCGAGCCTCAGCTTGCTCCGGTTTCGGGAGAGGTGTTTCTGGCAGCCTCAACTATCACCGCCAACGATGCTCGCGCTGATATCCGGGCTCGAGGGCTGTGGACCAGGGCACAGAATGCTTTCCTGGATGTCCGGGTTTTTCATCCCGATGCTCCGTCCTATGCCACCAAACCTCTCGACAAACTGTTGGCGGAGCATGAGAGGAAGAAGAAGCTGCAGTATGCTGAGCGCATCATCAATGTGGACCGTGGGACATTTACTCCACTAGTTTTCACCACGGCCGGTTGTTGTGCGCCAGAGTGCTCCAGATTTGTTAAGCGCCTGTGTGGCCTCATTTCGAGCGGGGACACGAAGTTGTATGCCCAGACAATGACATATGTCCGGTGTCGACTGGCGTTTGCATTGTTGCGGTCGGCGATCATGTGCATCCGCGGTGCTCGATCGTCATATCACCGTCCTGTGAATGCATTGCGAGAGTTGGCAATCTCGGAGGGCCGGCTGTGAGGTTTTGGAGACGATGGTGGGCAGGACAGTGCCCTTGTATTTTCCTGGTTTTTGTTTTTTGTTTGTTTTTTGTTTGTTTTTGTTTTTGGTGTTTTTTTGTTTTTTGTTTTTTTGTTTCTCGTTTTTGCGTTTTTTCACACATACAATTGTTTTCATTTTTTGGTGTTGTGTTCTAATCATTCGCCATGCCACTGTCAATTGTATTCTGTTTGCCCGTAAAAGAGGCCTTTTTTGCCACCACCCTCTAAGGATCAAGCCGCAGATGCAGCACCTCATGCAGTGAGAAGGGAGTTGATCTGACCCACAACAAAGTGGTACCATAGAGAGTGCTACCAGAAATACACACACACAAGAAGGAAAGAAGCCAAACACGGAGCAGCTTCGAGAGTAGCCAGCATTGCATCATTTCCGGCCAGTGAACCTGACTCGAACCTGTCTCCCGATGAAAGCCCTGAACCATTAGCTAAAAGACATGTGACAAGAAGTGGTCAGAGCAAGGTTGAGAAAGACCAGTGCCCGTTTTGTTGCCAAAAGCAGAAAAGAAGGCCGAATTGTTCTACTGACAGATTAATTCTCTTCAGTGAATTCTCGGCTGGAGAACAGCCGTCGGAACTTACGAGGGTTAAAGCGGAACATGATGAACTGGCAAAGAAAGTCCTCTTGCACGTACAAAGCAGGACGAATTGCGTTGCTGCTGGCCTCACATATCACAGTGGTCGCTATGCTAACTTAACCCAGCCATCATCACTGAAGGCGAGAAAGGCCAGGCTTGACAAGGCAGCCCAAAAGACACCATAATCAGGACGCAGAAAGCTGGCTCATGGGTTTCCCCGAGAAGAAGTTGTTCCAACAAGAGGTAATTGTCGCTCTGAGGATGGCCAAACTAACACTAATGTACACAGACAAGCTGAAGGATTTCGGTATTGGACATCGCTGTTGAAGCGGCGGATTCTTTCTCACTTTGGAGCGAGAGTCAATTTTGTCAGATCCTCTAGAACGGAGTGTGAACCAGTTATTGCATCCAGCATGCACAGCAAAAGCCTGCTGCTCAATGTTTTCGATACTGCAGTACGCACTGCCCACAAGAAAAAAGGTTCTGCTGATGATGTGATTTGACATCAGAGATCTTTCATGAGCCGGACACTGACCACCTTAACGTGTTCGACGCAGCTTTCCAAATTCATAGCGGGATAAAGTCAACAAGTGCATGCCTGCTCTTCCCTTGCCTGCGTCTCTGATCTTACAGTTAGCTTCCAGCCAGTTTGTTTCTGATTCGCTATTCAATCCCCATTTATGTACGTGCTTCCATTTTCATTTTTCTCTTCATCCGTGGTTGTTTTCACCCTCTCCTGAATTCATTCGGCTGTCTCGATATGCTAAGAGGTGCAGAAATAAATAAAATAAAATACATTCATGCCGGAACTACTGCTGCATAGCCCCAAGTCTGAAGACTTGGCAAAACTTCACGCCTGCACCTGACTCTTGCGCTATGATACGCGTCGCCTATGACACCCCTCGGAATTTCCCACCTTGCTCCCCCTTATGTTCTGGCTGCCCGTTTTGGATCCATCAGTTGCCTGATGATCGTAGAGATACGTGAAACTCGGAGTTGTGACAAAGCTTCCAAACTCTCTCTTGTGTAAAATAAAATATAGATATCATCGATGGCCTTGATGTATGCGAGCAGCATGGCACACATTTGGAAAGCGTCTCCAAGTGCCCAACCATCTCCAGCAAATGATTGGTGTAGTACTAGTATCCCTACCTTGCTGGTAGACAATGTACAATCCTGCATGTACGTAAAGTCTATTTAGCCCTCACGTCATGTACATTGTACATTCGGTTGACATGTCTCATCACCCACACACTAACACGTTCACATCTACTGCGCTTACTTACGTACACTGCACACTAGCTCGTATTTTTGTCTTCCTAGTATCTTCCTCAACATCCGTTAGTAGGCGTTACTTCTCAGAACTCTTATCGCTGGCTATAAAACCTTTTCCGCGGAGGTTGAGCCGAAGAACCTATTTGTCCATCAGTTTTCTTGTGTGTGCCTCCTAGACCACTCGGTGACGCATTACAATTGGTGTCTTTCGGTCAAGATGTGGTATACGCAGCTACAAGTGGTCGACCAATGCCACCAAAGAATGCTGCCTTGTCCATGACAGTGCGGCGTGTGACAAGAACTTGAAGAAGTGTGAAGCTTGTAACGTTAGACCGACTGTCTCATGTTGGCGATGGCATATCAGACTCTAAGGTGTCGGAGTTGGAGACGGCATTAGCGCAGGAGGTACTCCAAAAGCCAATGGCAATGGATGTGTCCAGCAACATCACAGACGGGTATCCAATACACTTTACCTGGGACGACAAGGACTTGTGGGAGGAACTTCTCAGTGGAAAAGGTGTTTATAATGGATGAATGGGATTTTCGGTCTTTGACCGCTTTGGGCTGGGTCTGATCTCCTGACCTCCCACCGATTAGGAGCTGCATCTGCACCTTGATCCAAGAGGATGGTGGCGTTCCTTTGGATGCGGAAAACTCGGCCTTTGGCAGAGTTAGAACTGTGAAATTTTTTAATTTTATATAGCTCAGAATGCGCGCTTTGGACGAGCGATCACGGAGGGAATTCTCAGCCTGAGCTGGTTTTGCTCGCGGCTGCAATGTACGGGGTAGTGAACCCAGGACAGAAGCGGACCAGGCATCATGACTTTGCGCATCTATCGTTATGCTGCTTCATTACGCGACCTGTTTTATTATTATTATTATTATATCGTGTTTAGTGCGGCCAAGCTTGGCCGTTAATGTTCTCGGTGTAATGTACTGCTGTTATGTGTTATCACGTTGTCTTTCCTTCCTTTCTCCTTTGTTCATTTCTCGCTTTGATTGTTAAAATTCACACTTGTAAAGTTCACTGTTGTTGCTCTTAGTGTTGTTTCTCGAACTTAGATATTCTATAATAGTTCAATTTTTGTTTCAGTGTCCTTTAGTACAACGACGATTCCTAATGAGTGTTGTACGAAAACTTGTTTGAATCCATATTTTTCCCTACACCATTTCTTCTTATTTATTACTCTTATTATAGCACATGAAGCACTTGCGCCTTTTTTAAATAATATTTTTATTTTTTACTGATGCGGATTACACGCCGGAAAATACGGTATGCCTATCTCTACATGCGCTTCTCTTGGCTATCAATATGTTTGATGTAGATCCTCAGAAGACGAGTATAGTGGTGGTGTTCAGCACGTTTCAAGCTCACCTGGCGACAAGAACGATCGATTCAGTATGCGTTCTTTATAGACCCCAAATCTATCTGGTACCGGTATATAAAACTCTAGACATTCGTTACTTTCAACCTTCACTGATGAGACCTATACTAGCTATAGTATTAGCAAGAGTCCATAAACAAGAGTGTGCAACGCCACATAGATGTCTGTCACGACTCGTTTTCAACATTACGTCATTTCCATGTAGCTGGGCGCGCTGTGCAGGCCGCGACATTCGCTATGAAAATGTACATGAAAATGACGTAATGTTGAAAACGAGGCGTGACAAGACCCTATCGCGCGTTGCACGCTCTTAGTCTTAGTCTTGTTTATGGACTCTTGGTATTAGTAGTTGAAACAGCGCTGTATGTAGAAATCTAGCTTAAGACATTCCTTCTTGTACCTATTCTCAATAGCACGTTCAAGCAACTATCCTAATGACAATACGCCGCACTACACCGTTTTTCTTTTTCTTTTTAGAAAATTGGATGTTTCTCGCATACCTTCATTTGCTGTTGCTTTATGCCTTCTTTTTGATGGTTTCTGTTGCTCACTTGGATTGAAATAAAAACAATTCGCCCACACCGTCTTTCTCCGAATGTAATGAGCTTCAAACTTTGAACTTGTACTGATCCTTCAGCAAGATCTTCAAAATGTTTGGATTGTACGGGACTCGGTCAACATGCATGCATGTCTTTCACGTGCTCAAGTGTGCACGGATTCTGCTGAGCGGCTCGAGAGAATTATTGATGAGATAAATGTAATGGTGAACGGAATTTCAAAATCGGGCAAAGGTATTCGACCCAGTTCGACTATCCTGGCATGCATTGGCAATGTCCAGTAAACGGATTCGTATTCAATGGGGCCTCATGAGGTAGTGTGCCAAAGGGCGTTTACTATGAGCTTCAGTGCATCACCTTCTCCGAAAGCAGCCTTTGCTGAGACGTGGCGGATGGACTAATAACCAAGGACATCATTTTTTAACATAGAAACATTGCGAGACCTCAGCCTTTCCCCAATGACTTAACCTAGAGAAACTCAGAGAAACTAGGGTCAGATACAACACACTGATGCACCCCTCTCCTCTCAGGGAGGAATTTCGATGATTTTATACCCAGGAATATACATGCACCTAGATCATAGCAGACTCAGCGGAGGACGTTCAGGTTGGTTGTAACTCTAGTTTCATGCCGCTAGGCAATCATCAGACAACTGATACTCGGGTCTACCCAACAGTATGCTTATAAACACATAGGGCCACAAGCATAAACAGATTTAGCGCTGAATCTGGTGTGAGGTATGGGGAGAAAGCTGGCGCGGGCCAAGATTGCCTAGCGGCATGAAACTCAGAGTTACAACCAACCTGAACGTCCTCCGCTGAGTCTGCCATGTACTAAGCTCTGTCTCTGACATTGAGCACTCTCTGCAGCTCGGGGATCAACGGATTTATACTCTGATCATATTATTATTTAGAAGAAGAAAATCAGGCAGAAAACCCTTTTGCGACACGTCACACAGATCATTAATAATATTTCTCGTCTACACTCCGAAGGGAACCCACGATAATGAAGCAACAAAGAGCACCGCGGCAGAAAGAAACACCACACAGATGTTTACAAACCTGGTCTGAACGGCTCGCTCGTGCAGAAGATGTTTTTGCTACTGCTTCACGCCCTATGTTGCAGAGCTGGAGGCCTCAGCTGCACTACCATTCCTAACACGATGCTTCTACTGATTATGCTGCTTCCTCCGCAACTGCTGAACTTAAACAGAAAAATACACGTAAAAACAACAGATTATTACTATTGAATCCAATGCACCACACCACCACCACCACATTGCGCTCTTGGCCGATCCAAACTCTGCACTCACATCACCATCACCATAGCGAGGACAATGCCGGTATATAGATTCATATTGACAATGACCCTCCAGACAGCTGTTTCGCTCCTCCTGAGCTCATCAGTGGAGGCATAATGGTGTTGAATGAAAGAACAATAAGAATAGACTGATCTTTATAGGGCTAAATTGGCGCAATTGCGCTCATTCTGCATAGAAACGTGGCAGACCCTAAGTGACAAAAGTGATAATAAGGTCAGGTGATAACGACATCGCGCTCATGGCTGGGACAGGGACATGTAGCACGTGTGAAAGGGGGGGGGGGAGGCTAGCCAGAACTCTGTTGGTTCTAGGCCAGTATGCCGAAAACCATTAAGGCGAGTGACATTTCTTTGCCGTCGACTGGTCGAAAACCGTGTGGATGCCTGAAAAGAAACTGAGCGCTGTCCATAACCAATATGTACAATAGGTAATACTAAGGCAGCTGTATCCTGGCCACGAGTACGAGCATTTGTGTGCGGGCCAACTGAAAGCAGGAGAAACAGTGACTGAAGGAGGGGGCTAGCAATTGATGACAAGCAGCGATAGACCGAAACGTATAGTTTCAAATTCCCTCTTTGCTCAAACGAATAGAGATGACACCGTTGTAAAACTAATGCAGTTGGGAGGAAGATGAGTGGCTGGCTCATCGTCATCTTTGGTCTGCGTGAAGAAGGTTCCAGTCACGATTGACATACGGCTTTTTCGGGTCAGAGCTGCATAACTTGCGGGTAATTGTCGCCGACGCTGCGATGCGCTCTTCGTCTGCTAGGCTGGTGATGAGCAGTCCGGGCTCTGCTAACTGTTCGGTTCAGAGCTGTGGAAGAAGGTAAGATCACCACCGTTCCCGTAGCCACGTCCACATGTATCAAAGGAGGCGAAATCGCCTGTTTGTGGTGCGACGTTAAATATACTTCTACAACAACAACAACAACAGCCACTTCCCAGTAGCCTCCGCAACGATCTGGTGGAAAGAGTCTTGACTCGTAGCGGCTTTTGACCTTAGATTTGTATTTTGTTTTATTTTGTTATAATTTATGCATTCTCCACAGGCCTTTGCCTAAATCAAGGGGGATCAGTCAGGGCCTTGACTACGTAGGGTTGGGTCGGGCGCGTGGTTGTGGCTGCCACTGAACGCTGTTATCTTGTCACTCTCTGTCTTCATCCGGTCTTTGCAGGACAGCTCGTCTCTCTTTTCGCATCTCCAATAAACAGTTTCGTCTCTTCCATGCCTGTCTTGCATGTAGGCATACCCATCCTTGACTAGTTTAGGTTTGCCTCGCGAAGTTAGGCCAGTAAGATCCGTATAAGGGTCAATGATTGAGTCACCAAGAGAAAGGATGTCGCATCCAGTTTACTGCTTTTTCAGTAATCTTCGACGACAGGGGCTGCGGTGAGAATGTAACTTCGATTAAATGTACCCGCCGGATGTGCGGTGAAAAATCAAGCTGCGAACCCACACAGTCGCAAATTTTCACTCATTGAATTGACCACCTCGAAATGCCTGACGACGAAACGTCACGCGCTAACTGACCGGATACTGTTACTTGTTGCCCATAGTTGCCCATATTTCGAAATCGAACCCTGGACGCCAAAGGGTTAATCACGTAATGTGACTAGCACCGTGTCTAAGTCTATAGGATCTACTCGACACAAAGTTGTTAGTACAGTCAGCAAAATGCAAGAACAACAATGCCAATGGACAAAGAACTCTACGCATTCAAATGTAATCACTATTATCAGGGCGTGTTGTTATGGCAACGAGTGACTACTACTGCCAATCATGTATGTTACCATGGTTACCAGAGGCAGATAGTTACTGCCGACCAGCCCGCAGCCTGCAGCCCACTGCGAAGAGCATTCGCCTGCGGCGATAGGATCACCGAACATTCCCTGCCAAGCATCTCGGAGGCGGAGAAAATCAGGGGCGTAAATGAACCATGCCCATGGTGGACTGTTGCAACTCGCTCTCTATTATTGTAAGTGACATTTACCATAGTATTATAAGTGTGAAGAAGTGGTTGGTGGGACATCGGCAATACTTGGTGAGTTGTGTGGCGCCCCCTACGTGGGAGCTCTCACTTTTCCTGCCGACTTGAATTCTCACTTGACTGACTCACGACTGCCATCCAGAGCACACAAGACGTCCATCTAACCTTCGACTCGGTAAACCTGCAAGAAAGCAACACTCCCTGCTCAACACACAGTGTTTCGGGGAATTCGCCCCACATCAGTTAAGCTGGAGTAGGCTGAAGAAGATTTTGCCTGAGGAGCACAGGAGCACCACCTACAATTATAGTGCTGTCAAGACCAAACCATCCCCAGGGATACAAACTTACATACACGCTCAGTTTCCAGCACGAAAAATACCTCGTCAACACCAGATAGCAGCGTGAGTCAGTGTCGCTGGTGGATGTGCTGAACGTGCTTTTCAATTAAAAGTTGTTTCGTTGACTGAACAGCGCTCATTACTGCGGAGAGTTCATTGTGAAGTTATAGGAAACATATCTTCCAAAGACCATGATGGTAAGTTCTGAACCTGACGCCACGTCTTCCGTGTCAGTATTGTTATAACAACAGAGCGCCGACTAATTGTCCTTCCTTGTTCTTCGCCTACTAAATGGGACAGCCCGAAGTACAGCACGTTCAACGATACTGGAGATTTCCAAGTCCAACCCAGTACGCAATGTGGTTGATAGCATGTTACAAGACATGTTTTGCAACCCAGCAAGTCTTATCTAAAACCGTAACCCTGTATGAACCTAAGGCAGAAGTACAACGATGCCAGAGAAATCCCGGTAAGACACCTGTGACTAAAGTTGATATTGCAAATGTTCTGTCATAGCTAACAACTACTTCGAAGTATTGTGCTACAGAAATTGAGGTAAAAGTATTTCATTTCGAAAGAAAGGAGCAAAATGTTACATGTTATCCGTAGTTTCTGTCCAACACTAACACCAACACTAACAGTTATAAGTAAAATGTTGTGTAGTCAGAAGGTGCAACAGCTAGCACAATACTGACTGATGTGAGAAGTCAGAAGCAAGCGTTTTGGCGACAGCAGCTTTAAATACAGCCACAATGAGGACTAATTTATCTCTCATTATTTGCTTTTTTGTGTGTTTTGCTGCTGATAGTGTGATCCACACATGCATGCTGTTAGGTGCTGAAACTTCCCCCTACCGCCCCCCCCCCGCCCCCGCCCCCCGCCCCCCCCCTTATTGGTGGAGAAACACGCCACACAGGCGACGAAAATCTTACGCGGAATACTGATGCCAATGGAAAGTACATGTATGTTTTTTTTTATTATTATGATGTTGCAATGTCCTTGTGCAACGTTCACTGCTCTTGGAGCATTTCGAGCACTCTTGGCGGGGTTTGCAGCTCTTTATAAAAATGCTTTGCTTTACGGAAACGTATTTCATAGCGAAGAGCTGCGCTTCGGGCCTCTGAGCTGTGCTGATGAGCTCTAACAGAGCGAAACAGTTTAGTTGCTGTCCACAGACTTGAGTAAACAACATACATGTACATGTACTTTCCATTGGCATCAGTATTCCGCGTAAGATTTTCGTCGCCTGTGTGGTGTGTTTCTCCACCAATGAGCGCGTACTATGATTATTTATCGCTCGAACACTCGAACACTTGATTGCCTTCCATTAGTTAATCTTCAATTTTAAAAAACTCCTCTTTTCATCACAGTTAGCCATTGGTGGACTATGCTCGGCCAATCGTCAAATTATGCTTTTGATTATGCCACAATTATGCAAAAAATATGCTGAATTATGCTCGGTTCCACTATGTATTCACACTGTACATACAGGATTGAGAAACCACCCATACACACACGGCCATGCCCTAAGCATAATTTTTGTCTAAACCGAAAGATTATGCCGACCTTACACGTTGGAATCCGTATAATTATTATGCCCGAGCACACGTTTTGAAGAAATCTCAAGATTATGCCAAATATTATGCCGGCATAATCCGTCAAGGGCTATGACAAGGAGTCGTAACTAGGGTATTTAAAAAAAAAATCTCCAGCCTTTCTGACAAAGCTGTATTATGCCTAAAGCATAATTTTTCTCTGAACCGAAAGATTATGCGGACCTTACACGTTGGAATCCGTATATTATGCCGGAGCATAATATTTTGACGAAATCCCAAGATTACGAAGTATTGGTTACGACTTCGGCGATGATTTTGTAAGAAAGGGCTTGCTCCCCATACCGGAGCTCGCGCTATTCCGCCGACTTTACTTGACACTTGACTGACTCACGGCTGCCATCCAGAGCACACGAGAAGTCCATCGAACCTTCGACTTGGCAAACCAGCAAGAAAGCACCACTCCCTGCTCAATACACAGTGTTTCAGGGAATTCACCCCTCATCAGTTGAGCTTGAGTAGGCTGAGGAAGATTGTGCCTGAAGAGCACCACTTATATAGTGCTCTCCAGGCACAAACATCACCAGGGATACAAACTACTTACAGAGACGCTCCGTTTCCAGCGCGACAAACACCTCGTGAACACCAGATAGCAGCGTGAGTCAGTGTCGCTCCTGGACGGTGAGACAGACGTCGAGGACCCTCGGTCATTCGCAACGCTGTCACCTCCAAACTAACTAGTCGCAAGCCCGCGCTGGGCATAACAGTACGAAGTAGTGGTTGCGACTTCGGCGATGATTTGTAAGAAAGGGTTTGCTACCCACACCGGAGCTCGCGCTATTCCGCCGACTTTACTTGACACTTGACTGACTCACGACTGCCATCCAGAGCACACGAGAAGTCCATCGAACCTTCGACTCGGCAAACCTGCAAGAAAGCACCACTCCCTGCTCAATACACAGTGTTTCGGGGAATTCACCCCTCATCAGTTGAGCTTGAGTAGGCTGAGGAAGATTGTGCCTAAAGAGCACAAACATCACCAGGGATACAAACTTACAGAGACGCTCCGTTTCCAGCGCGACAAACACCTCGTGAACACCAGATAGCAGCGTGAGTCAGTGTCGCTCCTGAACGGTGGGACAGACGTCGAGGACCCTCGGTCATTCGCAACGCTGTCACCTCCAAACCAACTAGTCGCAATTCTTACAAATCCCAAGATTATGCCAAATATTATGCCGGCATGATCCACCAAGGGCTAATCACAGTCATAATTGGTCGCTAT